TAGCGGTAATTTCGTAAACCCAGAGATTACCCATATATATATATATATACATTCACATTTATAACCAGATTATTTTCAACAAGAATTTTTTTTAAAAATAGCTTTTGTATAGATTTTATGAGTGTTTAACTTCAAAAAACAAACAATGAATGAACGTTTTGAATGAATGAACGTACTTGTGAACCACTGTTTAACATACCTACTCGATGTTTCTGCCTCCCACTATTACAGTCATTTTGAATATTATTATTATTAATATTATACACGTTTCGTCCGATAAATTGAAAGATTTGATTTATGATTTTCAACATTTCGCATCATTTTCGCCATTTAGAGAACATAAAACTTCTTTACATACAAATAGTATTTACAAACACTAACAAAAATCTCCAAAATAATGTATCTACAAACACCAACAAAGGAAACCCAAGATATTGTCATACTGCTCGCTCTTCACCGTTCTACGACGGTCACCAAACGAAGAACATAGTTTGTTCTTGGTGAAATTCTTTCTGTCTCTGTAAACTCGCTCGCTCAACGTTAAATAACTCGATATTGTTCGTGTATATAAAATAATGATAGATGACTTTTATTGGTGACTTACGTGTGTTGAGCATTAATTAGTGTTTAAAATGTTATAAAGTTTAATTAGTTAGTGTTTGAAATGTTATAAAGTTTAATAATCGAAGTCGAATGAGAAACGACTCATCCATTATTGTTAATAAAAGATTTTTATTGTTTAATTGCAACCAAATATATTTTAATAAAATAAATAACAAAACTTGAAACTGAGACTTAAAATGTAGTGTCACACAAATGATAATGTGTCAAAGTGTATATGTAGTGTTCAAGAGCTTTAAGGCGTGTTAAAGAGACAACTCTCAACTTAACTCTTAACTCATGTGCTCGTCTATTATATACAAGGAGACCTTGCTCCCCAGAGTTTAACTAGTTGTCTAACTCCTTCTAACCAGCCAGTTCCTATTGTATGTCATCTCATTCTTATTATATGAAGTGTTAAATGGTCTGTCTAATTATACGTTATATTATCTTATATTAAGCTGCTTTATGTCTGTAAATTTGCTGTCTCGTCCTGAACCGCTTTTATAACTTAACTATCATTATAATTGTTTATCTACTTTAACAGATATCTTTATGCAACCTATATCCATTTATACCTCCTAAGAATGAATAACAAAAAAATGAATGAATTAACGAATAAATGAAAATGAACGAACGAATGAACGAACGATTGAACGAACAAACGAACAAACGAACAAACGAACGAATGAACAAGCGAACAAATGAATGAATGAATGAACGAACAAACGAACGAACGACTGAATGAACGAACGAACGAACGAACAAATGAATTAATGAACAAATAAATAAACAACAGTGTCCATGATCATGAAAAAGCTTCAGACAAAGGAAAGTTGGTACGATGGTGGGTGTTGGTGATCTGATGGTGGGGGGGTTGAAAAGTTCTTTTCCATTCCACACGCACATCTGACATAAGTTCCATGTCTCGCTCCACTCGTCACAATCTTCCTCCTTTTTGTCATCATCATCATCGTCATCATCATCATCATCGTCGTCGTCGTCGTCATCATCATCATCATCATCATCATCAATTACATCATCATCATCCTTACAACGCTATCATCATCATTATCATCATTATTACATCATCAGCAGCAGCACCACGTCATCATCATCATCACCACGTCATTGTCAGCAGCATCACCTCATCATCACCACCGCGACATCATCATCATCGTCATTCATCATCATCATCGTCATTCATCATCATCATCACCAACACCAGTCCTTAGTTGAGGATTTATTTCCACCATCAGATAGGAGGACCATCATCTTCAACATCAATCATCATCACCCACATCAACAGCCTTCACCATTTCGCCTAATTATTATTATTATTATTTTTTATTTTTATTCTTCTTATTATTTTTCTCATTTTTAGATTTCATGTTACTGCTGTTCTTCTTCTTCTTCAAAAATTTTTTCCAATTAATTTTGTTTGTTTACGTTGTTTGTAGTGGTGTTCATTGTGTGTGGTTTATTGATAGTATGAATAAAAGAATGAATGAACGAATGAATGATTGGTTAATTGATTGATTGAATAATTGATTGACTGATTAATTAATTGATCAATCAATTAATTGATTGCTATGTCGATTGATTTGAAAATAGTTTGAATGATCAAACGATTGATTTAATCATTAATTCATTATTCATCATATTGATTCAATCACAATCATCATCATCGTCATCATCGTCGTCATCATCACAGTCGTAATCATCATCGTCATCATCATCAATGTCATCATCGTCATCATGATCATCATCATTCATCACCATCACCATCATCATCATCATCATCATCATCATCATCACTCATCATCATCACTCATCATCATCACTCATCATCATCACTCATCATCATCGGCGAAATGATATTCTTGTCCCGACACATTCAATCATCGCATGCCAATTAAATTGTTAGCAACGTATCAACGTTTCCGTCATTATTCTCAAGACATCATCATCATCATCACTATCATCATCATCTTAATCGTCATCATCTTCATCATTTTGTCAGCATTAATTCAATCAATCTCTGTCGTCATGTTGCTGCTGTTGCAATTATAGTACATGCAACCACTCTCTCATCATCATTATCACCACCACCACCATCATCATCATCGTCGCCATCATCATCAGCATCGTCGTCGTCTTCATCTTCATCGTCATCTTCATCGTCATCATCATCGTCTTCGTCTTTGTCATTATCATCATCGTCGTCATCGTCATAATCATGATCATAGCAGTCATTCTCACCTCCTCATCATCATCAAAGGAATCTCAATCTGTCATCATATCATCATTAGCACCATTATTATTATAATTTTTATTAAAACATCTATTAATATTATCATCGTAATTATCATCATCCTATCATCATCATCATCAACGCCATCATCGTCATCGTCGTCATCATCGTCATCATCATCATCACTGCTCAGATCATCAATCATTCTAAACAACGCGACAAATCCAACTCCGACGACGAAAATAATAACGCTGATGATGATGATGGTGATAATGATGATGATGATGAATGTGATGATAATGATGATGATGTTTATAATGATGATGGGATAAATATCTTAGAAAAGTGATGTTTATGATTTCATATGATTAGAAACGATTGTTATCAGCATATTTTAAGATATTATTGTTTTATTAAAACCACATTTATTTGGAAATATTATTTCAAGGGCATTCAGATTAGCGGTTACTGTGCTAAAAACAAGAAAGTTTAATAAAATTTAGGAAAAGACACTCTAACATTTTCAATTTTTTTTTCTGCCGAACCAATTATGCAGAAATTGAATTTTTTTCAACAGTTTTTACGATGGAGAATTTTATTTTGAAATAATTAAATTGGAAACAATTTTATATATAAATTTTGTACGTTTTGGTTAAAAATAATTTTGTTGATGTTGAACTTTAGCAAATTATTTTATCTTTTTTTAGCAAACAACCACCACTTAATTCCCAACGATAATTTGTTGACGATACAACGAACACTGGACACACAACAACAAAATAATCATAAATTAGACTTCGATTTGTTGTTTTTTTTAATAAAAATATACCATTTTTCATTAATAATAGTGTTTGGCTGTCTAATTTATATAATATTATAATGAAGATAATTTTTACGAGTGAAAATATTTTGAGGTGAATTTTAATGTGTACCTTAAGTCAGCGTGTGTATGTTTATTTGTGTGTGTGTTTGGGTCTGTGTGTGTGTGCGTGTGTGTGTGTGCGTGTGTGTGTGTGTCTGTGTGTGTGGGTCTTTGTAGAAATAGTTAAGATACAAATTTATTTAACAGTGCTTCACATTAACATTTCAACTGTCAGCCATTTTTTAAATAAAATGAAATTATTTTGAAAAAAATTTAATGAACCACTAAACCAAACTTCTAACCAAACTCGAACGGTAAACCATCAGCGAACAAAACATTTTTGGACTATAAAACTCAATTACGCTTATTACTCCACTGAAAAGACTGACAGGACAACATTCAAGTTGCTTTTCAGGTAGGCTGCACTGGTATGAACAGAAGAGTTGTGATGGAAAGTTAAGCTTGGATGCTTTTGGTCATGTCGTATTTCAAAGCAACTTCAATCAACGCGATTTTAAAATTTTCAAGTAACATCTTCAAATAGACGTACGTTATTAAATGTTATTAAACGAGTCACAATTTTCAAACTGTGGAAAAAATTTCTTTCTTGTTTGGTTGCGTAACATTTGGAATGGTTTAATTTCTGTAGTGAACACGTCAACCAACATTTGAAACTCCTATTTGTTGATGATGACAAAGCCAGATACAATTGAAAAGACGTTCGTAATTAATTTATTTTTATTTTTCATATTGGCAAGTTGAATGAAATAGCTGACGATGTAAAACTATTCCTCAATAATGATGACAACTCAATGATTAATGACTTAGGAACATTCCACAGATGATTACTTTTTAAACGTTTCAAGAATAATCGATCAAAAGATTAGAGTATCGATGAATGACCTTCAGGGTTACAATGTCATGCCAATCAATATATGTTTGTATGTATGTACTCTACATCGTTCACTCGTCTAAAGCAGGGGTGGGCAAACTTTTTTTCGTAAGGGCCACATTGAAAAACGTTTTACTTTTGGAGGGCCGCATCATTATATATATATATATATATATATTCATTATATATATATATATATATATATATATATTCATTATATATATATATATATATGTGTGTGTGTGTGTGTTTGTTTTTTAAAGCTATAAATAAATTATTTATGCCAAAAATTACGTTTTTATTTATTTGCAAAAATTGTCAATTACATATATAACAGGTTTTACAGTAAATCTGATATAAAAAATAAGTTTTATTAACAAAAGTTTTTCTAATTAATGGGAAGTATGGAACTGTTCACAATTTTCAACAATGTTCTTGAATTGTGGAGCCAGATCACTTGTCACTATTTTCATTATTGCATTTAGGTTGCAGTCATTCATAATGGACCTATTTTTGGATTTATTTATTTTCATACAAGAGAATGCTTGTTCGCATATATATGTGGATCCAAATATTGAAAACATTTTTGCAGCAAATCTTTTAAAATTTGGAAATGATACATCAGACAGAGAGCCATAAAATTCTAACAAAAGACCTGATTTAAACTTTTCTTTCAGTTCACAATTTGCTTGCATGTCCAGCAGTTCCAACTGCAAGTCTTCAGGTATTTCATCAGCTTTTATACAAAATGGTGTTGTGAGAATTGTAAACAAAGGCTCCAGGTTTTTAAAATCTTCAAATCTTCTTTCAAATTCCCTAGCTAAATCATGTATTTGTTCTTTGTATTTCTGTTGCTACTTCAGCAAAAATTAGTTCCAGTTTTAGCAATGGAAAATGACAGAACTTGTTTTCATCTGCTTGTCTAGAAAACAGGGCAAGTTTTGATTGAAATGATTTAACATGGTAATACATGTCATGTGCAAACAAACCATTGCCTTAAAGTTTATTGTTCAATTCAGTTTATTGTTAACTTTTCAATAATGTCAATGGCAAACATAAAATCTAATTTCCATTGTTCATTTTTAATATTTGTAGTAAAATCAGAATTGATACTTTTCATTTCTAAAAAAAGAACTATTTCTTCTTTGAGAGCCCAGACTCGACTCAGTGCCCTGCCAAGACTTAGCCAACGAACACTGCAGTAGTAGAGTATGTCAGAATGTTCACTTTCCATATCTTCGAGCAATGTTTTGAACTGTCTGTGGTTAAGACCTCTGGCTCTGATGATGTTTATTACCCCAACAACTGAGTCAATAACATGCTTAATTTTCAATCCAACTTTACACAAATTTTCTTGATGAATGACACAATGAATAGATATAAGTGCATGATCTGGATGTTCTTCTTTTATTTTTCTGTTTATCAGTGTCAACAAACCTTTGTTTTTTCCAGTCAAAGCTCGAGCACCATCAGTTGTTACACTTGCTAATTTGTTCCAGGCTAATCCATTTTTTTCAATACAATTTTCCACAGAATCGAATAAATCTTGGCCAGTAGTTGTGTCCTTTAGTGATTCAACACTGAACAACTCTTCAGTAATTTGAAAGCAATTATTGATTCCTCTTATAAATACTAAGAGTTGTGATGTGTCTTGCATATCTGTGCTTTCATCCAAAGCAAGAGAGTACCACAAAAATTTTTTACTAGCAATTTGAAGCTGTTGCAACAAGTTTTCACTTATCAAGGTAATTCGTCTGACTACAGTTCTTCTTGATAAAGAAATACTATCAAACTTTTTCTCTGCTCTGGACGCATGATGTTTGCTGCATCCAGCAAGCATTCTTTGACGAACTCGCCATCAGAAAATGATTTACTATTTTTAACTATTTTGTGAGATAATACCAAACTAGCTTCTGTTGCAGCCACTTGGATTGAAGATTGTTTGGTAAAAACGTTTTGCTGTGTTTTTAAATTTTTAAGCAATTCTTGGCATTTCCTTTTTCGATCTTCATCTGAGAATTTGCTTCCAAAATCTAAATGTTTCGATTGCTGATGCCTTTTCAAATTATACTCTTTGAAAACATTTATGGACTCGCGACAAATTAAGCAGACTGCTTTTCCACCGACGTTAGTGAAATAATATTTAGTTGTCCATTCCTCATTAAATACTCGACATTCGTCATCTATTTTTCTTTTCTTTATAGCAGACATGGCTTTTAAATACGAAACAAAAAAATTAGAAAAGAATACAAAGATGGCTTCCTCCTGCACAAAATTCAATTTTAAACAGTGTTGCCATTGAATTTAAAATAAAAGACTGAAAGGTTCAAGTTAGAATGGACCATATAGCTAGAATAAATATAGTGATAATGCGGCACAGATAGGAGAGATTTTGTTGGAAGAAAATTTAAATCAGCCAACTTCGGTCAAGCGCCGATGTCAGCCCGACTGGAGAAAAGCAAATTTTGTCTTAATAAGCTCGATTCAACATTTTTTAAATATCAGAAATGACAATTTTGTGATAATAATGACATTATTGTGACAAAATGTTTATTGCGATTAGAAATTTGTGCGTAAAAATTAAAAACTCAGAGGACTTCGCAAGCTTTTCAAAGAGGACTGAGATAATAAATACATAGAAAACTTTAAATTTTTTCTAATTTTTAAATATTTTTTTAACATTTTAATTAAAAACTGGTATTTAAATTAAAGATTAACAAGAAGATCAACTATATAAAAATGAATAAAAAACCAAGGAATCGCTAATAGTCTATGTCTTGCTAGGTGGCCCGCTTGAATACATTGATTAGATGTAGCGTTAGCACCCATTAGAATGAACAATATTAAGCAAATTTTTAACAATTTAATTCTAGAATACAATGGCTTCAAATTAAATGTTTAAAATTTAATTCTAAAACATAAAAATTCATTTTTTATATGTAAATCTGATGTGCGTACAAGGACTCGCGGGCCGCATGCGGCCCGCGGGCCGTAGTTTGCCCACCCCTGGTCTAAAGCATTTCGACTATATTTTGTTCTCTTTTCTCTTTCTTTGTTCTCAAATTTGAAACTGCTACGGAAATAGTTTAAAAATTTTTGTGTGATTTTTGTGGAAAGTTTAATTGGACCTTGTTTGTTTGTTCACATGGTAGTTTGAATAATAATAATTGTTATTATTAGGATAATAATCAATATTATTATCGTATACTTGATTATTTTTTATTAGTATTTTATCTGGATTTTTATTTGTATATATATTGAATATTGCATTATATTGTATGTTTTATGATATTTGATTGAATAAAAAAAGTGTTCCCATTATGATTATTATGATAATAATTATGGATTAAGAATTGAAGATGACAAATAAACTTATTCTATTTAATTTAATTATGTAATGTGATGATGTAATGTAATTATGTAATGATGTAATGTTGTGATATAAATGTAATGATGCAATGTAAAGATTGTTCGATTGTGAAAATAATTTTCAATATTTTTAAAATTTGTACCCCGTAAACAAAATTTTAAGGAGACAAACTCTTTAGGATGAGATTGTTTTAATCATTTGAAATGTGGCGTGATCAAAAATAAAGAGATTCCGAAAGATTTTTTCTGAGTTGAAACAATTTTTTCCCCCACTAATTACCACTCTACATTTCAAAGATACAGAACAAAAATAAAACAATTTTTTACATCACAAGGCCAGATACTAATCTTTTTTCAAGTTGAAGTACATTTGAAAAGTTTGCTTCACCAAAAATGTACAGAAATATTTTTTTTCAATATAACGAAGTTATGAGAATGTAAAAAACATTAACAACTGTGTTAACTGTTTGAAGCAACAGTGGAGCGATGTTAATAATTGCTAAAGTTGAATTAAAAGTGGGTAATATATGAATATTTCAAAAAAATTGCCAAATTCATTTCTGTTTAATAATATATAAGTTGTTGAATGGAAAAAAAATAATTTTTTCTTATTATTTCTATTAGAAGTTAATTATAAATTATCATTTTACTAATTAATTCATTTTTTACTATAAATAATTAACGGATTAAGACTTAAAAAAACTAAAAAATCAGCGCAGTTAAATAAAAATATCAAAATAAAATGTAGCGTTGACTGACTAATACGAATTCAGGATTTTCTAGTTACATTTCTCTTTGAGTAAATTTTGGAGTCGTGCTTTGCTTAACTACAATATTAAAAAAAAGGAATTAATAAATTAATCATAGTTTTTGTTACAAATAAGTCTGTTAGCTCGTTCACTCATTCAAATCAATCAAATGGATTCAGCTCAGAATTGCTCAGAATTCATTCAAATAAGGTAAAAAAAAATTAGAATGGAAAGTATCTAGAAGTGTTTAAATAATAATAATAATAATAATAATAATAATAATAATAATAATAACAATAATAATAATAATAATAATAATAATAATAATAATAATAATAATAATAATAACAAGATGATGAATAACAATGAAAAATTGTATCAATAGAATAATTATTTAACGACATTAACAATAACAATGACAGTAATTGGAAAAATTTATTTTATATAATAAATAATTTTTTCATTGCAGCGAAATTAGCAACGCAAAATTGACAAGACTTGATTGATTGGCTGTTTAACGACTTTTTTCATTTGAAATGACTACATGAGTCCTCTCTCTCTCACACACTCTCTTTCTTTTTATCCTTTTTTCACTCTCTTTCTTTCTCTCTTCATACATACATAATTTTGTACATTCATAAGTATGCATCCATATACATGCGAGTTGTGTGCGTTGTAACCTAACACTCAATCCACCAACGCTCTTGTAACAAATACAACAATCACGTGATACTTTTATGCAAAACGTGTCGGTTTATCATTGTAGATAGATGAGTTACTATTTATGTGTGTGTGTGTTTATGTATGTGTACGTGTGTGTGTTTGTGGATGTGTGATGTGTGTGTGTACGTGTACTTGTATAATGGAATGTAATTGTAAGTATTTTTCAACTGTTTTGTATGTGTTAGTGATTGTGAAATTTGTTTACGGTTATTGGCTGCTGACTGCCGTGTGTATGTGTTATGTTCTCTGTATGTATTAACAGGTAGATAAACTTTGGCGTCGTGTGGTGCGTTGTGGTGTGTGTACTTCACACAGGACGCACCGTGTAGGCGAGCCTCAAGTTGACTGACAAACAACGAACGAGATTGTTGTTTGATTGAACGATCTATCACTTTTCATGATGCATTGCTTTCTTTCTCCCTCTCCAGCCTATCTTTGTTACTATTAATCTCTGCAGCTCTAATTATTTTGTTGGCTGACAGGCTTTTTATTAAGTTACAAAATGAACACCAATGCATTTTTTTAAGAATTATTTTTCAGTAATTATTTAAAAAAAATTTTTTATTCTTATGTTGTTGTTCAGTTGTTCATCATCATAACCACTCAAGCAAATTCATTCATTCTGATTCGACATTCAACATGCGCCGCTAACGACTTCTCAACGTGTTTTTTCTCTGTTTTCCATTGCATTAGCAATCTGCACGCAAAAATTACTGCTGAATGTTTGCTTAACAATTAGCCGACAAGCGACAAAAATATTCACAAGCCGTTGAAAAGACAAATGAGTGCATGCCAAATAATTCGACGATAATGTGTACATTCGCCGCTGCCTAATTAACCGCATTCACTTTAATTTCCGCACCTAAACGCGGATGACAGGACTGAAATGTGCAAATTTCAGACCGGATGCTGGCAGGATGTTTTTAGAGGCAAGCGTGTCTTTCTTTAATTCTGCGTTTATCGTTTGTCTGTCTTTTTGTCTGTCTGTCTGTTTATTTGTCTGTCTGTCC